CACATACCCTCCATCCATCCTGCACATCTCAGGCAATCCCAGTCCAACGCAGGCAATCCCAGTCGGGTCCGCCGATCCGGTTCTTTTGGCCTCCACCCTGCGGCACATGGGCAGCACGCGTCGCCTGGGGCGGAACGGTGTGGCGGAGCGCGGGTGGAACGGATCGGTCGCTGGCCGGGTTCGCCCGGCCAGAACCCCATGCTCGTGCTCAATCGCCATCCGAAAGAGAAGGGCGACCCTCAGCCTTCTCCAAATCCTAAAGATACCCTACCTGTTCTTTGTGAGCAGCCAAGTCTGAGTGCAAAAGGTCCCTGGTCATTGGATCTGGGGATGCCCAGGGTCACATGAAAAAGAACGAACTCATCCCGAACCGAGCAGGGAGAGACCCGGTCCAGGCCTCAAATCCAATGAGCAGCAGCCCAAGGGCATTGCCTTCTGCAAGTCCAGCTGAAAGAAACCCAGATGCAAGTCCTCCGGCTGAAAACTCTACCAAGAACAAGCATGGAGAGGGAATGCCTCTGCATACAGCGGCACGTCATGCTGGCAAAACAGAGTTATCATAAAGAACCGATTGCGGAATTCAGCGGGGCGCGCCTTCAACGAAGGCACTGGGTCAATTCGGCTGCGAAGATCAAAGTGTCAAGTACCAATCTGTTCATGAATATGTGCATGTAGGGTTGGGCACTGGCTGTTCAAGTACGACGACGATCATTGGCAAGAACGGATCTGTTCAAAAGTACACCTCTCCTTCTTCGCATGAAGGCGAAAGGTCACAGATGCATCTGCCCATTCGTCTTGATGGACCTTAGACGCCCTTGGTGCTGATCCACATGGTGCCAGGCACTTGCAGGACTTGTCCTACCAACAGTTGGACTACCGGGGCTGCAGAGAGCTGCTTTGGCATCTATCCTTCATCCTTCCAAGAGGCCAATTGTCTTGGGTGGCTCAGGGGTTTAAGACATTCCTCTAAGAATCTGCTGGAGTCTGTTCCTATGGTTCTTCTTCCATAGTGCACTCATGATTTAAGACCCTGCTCGCTCTCCACCCAAGTTGGCTCTTTGTCGTAGACTTGTCCCCTATGTTGTCTTTGTTTGTCCTCATTTGCACCTGGCCACAGCTGCAACCTCATAGTATATCTTTGCCCAATGCTAGAATCCGCTAGAATCATGCGGCACACAAGCGGTCCTGCAATCTTGAAAAACTTGAAAGATGTAGAAAGCTTCATTGCATGCTGTCGGATTCACACCCCAAAACATGATGCCCATCTTTCAAGAAAACGATTTTGAGCTTCTGCCCAGGCGCAGTGAAGACCATTGTGTCGCCGAAATGCCAGGGGCACTCCTGTGGCTGGTGAAACGCACCGCCACCACTCACCCAGGCAAGCCAAAGGCCTGTAAATAGACTAAAACCACTGTGCAAAACCAGTTCTTCTCCAAAACATCGGGGCTGTCCAACTAAAGAATCCGGATGTTTCATGGTTGGACCTCCCACAAGCGTCACAGGCTCTCCGTGTGAAGCGTCACAGGGCTCGCCGTGTCTCCTCCGGGCTCTGCGGAGCCGTCCCAAGGCTGGCCTGCATCGAAATCGGCGGCGTGGCACTGAAAAGTGTCCAAAAGTCCGGTGATTCAAAGGTCTCCACTGTCCTCCACTTTCCTCTTAGCACTGAAAAGCAAAGGGGAGGTGATGTTTTCTTGTCTCAAAGTCTTGAATTAACCCTCACTTCCCTCCAAGGTCTCAAAGGCTCCAACCCGCCTTCGCTCTCTCCCCGAAGGTGGGTGTTTGGGCCACCCACTCTGCTGGCTCAGACTCCTGCAACCAGGTTTCTCCAGCTTCTCCTCTGCTTGGTCCTCTCTCCTTACTTTTTGTTCTCTCCCCTGGTGATTGGTCGTACCTTTTCCGTGCTTGGCGGTCTTGGTGTTTCCGAACTGGGTGCGGTGGCTTTCCGATTTCGTCCTTGGTCATGGCACCCAGCGTCACTTCGACACAAGGCTGTTGTCGCCACAGTAGACCTGCCATGGTGACCATGGATGGATGTCTCACCCGGAAAAGAATCTCATCCGACCTTGAAGCATTGTTTGGGTCAGCAAGTTTGCCGAGTCTCAACAGCCCAACCACTAGGTAGCTCAACAACTGACGGCCTCAGCCCATTCAGCAAGCAAGAGAGAGAGAGAGAGAAATAACGAGAGAGAAAGAAAGAAAGAAAGAAAGACATGGAGAGTTAGAGGGGTCGAAAGACCATGTTCAGCACCCAGAATCCGAAAACGGCGAGCGAGCAAGGGACAAGGGAGCCAAACAAAAAAGGTTCCCTTGCAAATTCAAGTCACTTGGACACAAACCCCCCTCCCGGTGCCTGACTCCAGTCGTGGTGTGGCTGCACCATGCAACCGCACCGACACGCGTACGCGGGAGCGCGGGTCTTGTGCCCGCTGCAGGGAAGGCAACCTGAGCAATCCAAAATTGAAAGAGCAATCTGAATACTGTGCCACGATGACCAGTCCTGGAATTCAGCCTGATTCTCTGAAGGTGCCATGGACCAATCTTAGGGTAGAGGGACCGCTCTGAACCATAGATGAGCCAATCCTTCTCTTCCACATGGTCACTAATGGTCACTAGGTCAAAGTCGCCCAGACTACACCACCCCATGTGGCCATGTTGCTGGCAGCTGCTGCATTTGTTCTGCAGCCAGGCGCCACTCAGGAAGGCTGCCGCGTGGTACATTCTACCATGCTGAGCCGTTGCAATTTGATGGGTCAAACAGAACTGGCCGTGAAGACTCTCTCAGAATTCTTCAACCTCCACTAAAACCTCACTGGGAGGTGTCCAAGAGTGCGCATATGTGTAGATGTTTGCTTTCAGCAACTTCTGGCGCCCACATTGGTCCGCAAATGATGTGAAGATTGGTATGGTGGGTTTCTCATTTGCCCTCTCTTGGGTCATCCTTGCGACTCTTTGACGGAATCGTCCAGCTACTCTTGAGCCACGGATTCCTCGTTTGAAAAAACACTCGATGGTACAACAGCGGCTTCAAAGCGGCAGAGCAAGAGCTTCGAGGCATTTGGACCCCTTTTTCGGATCATTTGATGAATCCTTTATGCCGTAGCAAAAAGGAACCTTGCTGGATAACACATGGGAACACATGACCACTTACGGCCTCCCCCACTTTCACAAGCGATCGGACCCCTATCTGCGCTCAGTTTCAGCCCTTCCTTTCCCAGTTCGGCCTTGGATGCGGGGAAGACTCTCCGCAATCAGCGCCTCCACAAGACTTGGTGTCACCAACCAGCTGGCAGGTGTCAAACCCCAGGCTGGACCGTTGGGACTTCTTGCAGCCTGGCCCCCCCGGAATGTCGTCACGTTACCCTGTCGAGTTTGTTAGTTTGCGGCCTTCCTTCTCAGGTGACAGCTGCCCCTAGTCTTGTCGATGGATCGAAGGCACACATGGGGAGTCTAAAAAGGGTCGGTCATGTCATGATATGTCATGATCCTTCGAAGAGAATACTGCGTGAACGACGCACTTGGAAGATTCGGCAGGTGGCGCAGTAGGCAAACCTATAGTGTCCAGCATTTCCTCGCTACCCATCTTGTGACATGCCGGGCTTCAACAATACCCCAAAAATAAGAGCCAGCACAACCATCCAGCAAACTCACACGGCAGCGGCGAACACGTCCTTCTCATGCGGAAAACCCGGTGTTTCGCAAACCGACCCGTCGTTGCTCGCCGCACCATGGCATCGGACTTCAGCGTCGCGCAGGTCCACGCCACAGCCGCAAGGTGCTGCGGCCGTGCCCTAAGACGTGGGCCCGTGTCCGGCGCTCGTGAGATGGAAAAATGACAGGAAACCAACGAAAATCAAGAACTGCTGTTGAAAAACACTGGTTTTGATCGATTTTGAGGTGGTAGAAATGGGTACCAAATCCAGATGGATAGGTGAGAAGTGGATGATGATGCTAGACAATCTGGGATGCTAGGGCTTTCAACCAATGAAGATTTCAATGGCTTCAATCTTCCTGGAGCCTCTGGAAAGGGAACAAATAAACAAAGAGTCAATTTTTCCCGCCCACCCCAATCTATGTGTGGATGACTTGACAACTTTCAGAAAACTGGGGGACCTCCAGGTTGCCCCTCCATAATTCTCCAGGATTGAAAAATACGCTTTTAAAACTGGATGGCCAGAAGTGCAAGTAGAGATCCAGATTTGGCATCATCTTGGGTCTCATCTGCCACACGACTTGATTGCAAGCAGGCGTTCTGAACCGCAACGACCCCCGGCGGATCCCCGCGACTCCCGTTCCCGCGGCTCTTCGGGATCCTGGCTCATCCGCGACCTGTGCCATCCGCTGACTCAGCGCCTCCAGCAAAAGCACATGCCTGTCGCGTGTGTCGCGGACGGCACGCGAGTCGCAACGCGACGTCGCGACGTCGCGGTCCGTGCCATGTGACATGTTCAGTGTTGGGGGTCATAGCTATTGCATCTTTGCGACTGAACAAGCTGCCACTCTCAGGTGCCAACCTGAGAGTGGAAACAGCATTCACGGTAACATCTTCGATACCCTGTTGAGGGGTGCCCCACAACTTCATGGCGTGCACAATGAATCTGCCCACTGAATACTTCCGCATCTTTCTCGTAAAGCCGCATCGTATGACAATTGTTACCCGCTGCTACTGTTATCAGACTGCGAACGCCCTTTGAATCCATGTGCGTGCAGCACTGCGTGCATCACATACAACGAGCCTTGGCCCTTTTTGCATGCGAATCCATGATGCAACATTCCGCCCCTTTTGCTTCGGAAGTCTCACCATGAGTGGCCAACTTTGGGCCAGCGAATCGGATGAGGCCGGAATCGTGGTGTGGAAGCACCCGGGGTGGTTGGGCAACACTGAAAACAGACTGCATCAGATAAAAGGTCTCTGAACTGCTCTTGGAGTTGCGCTCGCAGGCGGTGAACACGTCTGGATTTCATGTTGGTGGGCCAAGTGGACTTGACACTGGCGAGCCGGCTCATGGCAGTGTGCAGGTGCGGTTCTTCTGCATGCCCGGCATCATGCCTGGCGACAGTATCGAGGTTGTTCGACGGCATCGGACCATCCTGAGATATGGGGCCGGGTGCGGAGCTATACAGCTAATTAATTGATGTATCGTAGAAGGTGCTGGGCTGCTAGAATCGATCTGATTTTGTACCAGAATCGTCTTGTTTGCCCGGCAAGTGTGTTTTCCTTCTGAAATGAATTCGTTTAGATGCATTCTTGTATATAAAAATCTATATTAGTTGAATGAAAAGAAGATGAGTTTCTCCACGCGTACGCAAAGATGGCAAAGGGTATGGGGGTCGGTGGGGGTCGGTGGGGGTGCCTCAAGAACCCGCTCTTTCGACCATCAACCATTCGTGACGTGCGGCGAGAGTCGGGGCTCTGAACTCGAATGGATGACCCCTTCCAGGTCCGTGGGCTACGGTCTTTCATGCTGGTCCCACAAACGGGTTTCCGATAGCAAAGGGAAGTGGTTCCCTTTCTTTTGCTAAGTCGGGGCCTGTACGATTCTTAACTTCAGGCGTGGTTTGATGAAGATGACCTGCACTGATCTTCTGCGTGTCGTGACCGGTGCCTGGTACATCTGCGCTGCGGCTGAACCTGAGCTGCGTTTTGCTGCGAAGCCCTTCCACATCACGGAAAAGCTCAGAGCCTGCAAACAGCTGGAATACCAAGGAAGCACATTGGAATCCAGTTGCGCGCCGCCTCCATGTCCATGTGGCCACTGTGTGGCCTCGCCAATGTCCTAGAGGCGCTGAGCTTCCAACCAAGTCTTGCCCCAGAAGATCCATTTCTCCATTCTGGGTTCCACGCAACAACACCTTCAGTTAGGGCAAAAATCCGGCCAAGAAGCCTGCAACTCCTCCAATACACGCAGTGATAGACCAAAAGAATCCACACCGCATCTATCCGTTCCATCTCATGTCTCATGTCGTCATCGCTCAAACTGCCAGTCTTGACTTGCCTAGGCCTCCCACATATGGTGCAGATATTCCCCAGGTTTTCTTCGGAGCTGTCGCTCGGCCGAGGAATCCTCCTGACCTGGGGTGCCGTCGATCGGGTGGTGGGACCATGTATGCTGCAGACGTCTGAAGATGCACAGAAATATAGATATATATATATATATAGGGAGAGAGAGAGAGAGAGAAGGTTAAAGCCGTGCTTTCTTGTGGGATCATTCCCCCCGAAGCCTATGACCACGGAAAATTGCACTGCAGGAATTTGGGAAGAGTTCTGCTGTTCTCAGAACAGGATCTTCTGTTAAAAATGCATCTTTGCGACAACTTGGTGAATTCCCACAGATGCCATGTCCAGTGCAGTGGTTCATCGTGGCTCCAAAAAGACGTGCTGTCGCGTCTGAGACGACGCAAGAGGACCACCAGCAGACCAGCAGACGCAAACCAGCAGACCAGTAGTAGAGCAGCAAAGCAGGTGAATGAAGTGACTGCAGCAAAGTGGTGAATGAAGTGAACCGTTGGTTAAGAGCAAGGTGGTTAGGAGCAGTTAGGGTCCAAAGCAAAGGACTGCTGTGCGGTAAAGAACTCTATTTCATTGATGTTTACCCACAGCTCGGCATGCGCAGCGCGCTGCTAAAGATCCGGTCACTGAGGCTCTTGGCAATTCTGCGCAGGTGCCCGACCTGTGATCACCCCCAAACGAAAAACGGGTGGCCCGCATTCGGGTGATTTAAGGGTGAATGCTTGGAGAAATGTGATGTGGTAGGGCTCATGCGGTGCCACATTAACAGACGAGAAGCAAAATGACTGGCTGCTGGCTGAAAAGGATGAGAAACGAACGAGTCTTGACTACAGCTTGTTTTTCATCTAACCCGGCCTTTGTCCTTGCACGTGGGTTTGAATTTCACGCATCGCGCCAGCCAGGAGAGGAGCCAGTCTGTGACTTCCTGAGATTGAGGCGGTCTCTGCCGAAAAACAGTCCCAACACCGTCACTTGAACTGTCATGGGAAAGGATGTGAAGAGCCTGCCGCAATGGAAAGGGGAAGTCGTATCCTTCAAGTCCCCCCCCTTGAAGGGGAGTTCTACACCCTTACCTTCCTCTTTGCATCATGTTTTACTTCTGAATTAGGGCTTCTTTTTCGTTGTGTCCCTCTCACGGACCCCAGGCGTCCCACGAACTGCTTGGTGTTGTGCATGGAGAGGTAGGCCAGCGGCACGCCATCTGGGTACCACCTTCAATGCGGCTTAATGCGTATCTGTATGATTCTATGTGTATTTTAAGTGTTTGTTTAATTTTAAGAAACAATACATGAATCATGAGTGTTTTGATACTTCGACTTCAGTAATTGACACTCGTCCTTGATCTCACTCCAGGCTCCTGGCTTGGAGTCCGACATGCTCTTGTCAGCCACCTCAAAGCGCTCCTTGTACAAGGCCCATTCCAAGTCAAACTTGCACCACTCCTGGTGTGGAACCACGGGAAAGGGCAGTGAAAGCATCACTTCACCCTCCAAATGCCTCAAACCAAGTGAATCTGGCTTGGTTGCAATTTTTACTTCAGGATGGTGTGTGACTGGGAATCACATTCAGAATCATGCTTCGCAAAGCCAAGTGGAGTCGATCCAGTCGTCCTTTTTGGCCGAATCTCGCCATAAGCCCACGTTCATCATGTCCTCACGCTGCAAGAAGTGATCTTCCTCCAACCTACCCGTTGGCTTTCCTTCCAGATTGATCGTTGGAGGCCCATACGACACCTTTCACACCTATGCGCAGTCAGTATCAAACAACCCGAGGCAGTGCAGCACCTCGTCCTCGTTCATGAACGAGCCGTATCGGGCCTGCTTGATTTAAAATCAGAATTCGACAGCCCAAGAATGATTCCGATCTGCAAGTTCCAAAAACGGGGGTGTTTGATAAGGCCTCAACCATTGGCCCTACAGCTTCAAATGGCGCCTCCCGTGGCCGCTTCAGCCCCTTCAGGAGCACCGACCGGAGCCCCAAACGGGAGGCTGCTGGCAGGTCCCAGACCTCCACCGGAGGGACACGGTGACACAGCAAGTGACAGGTGACAGGTGGGCCATGGCTAGTAGGTTGGTGGAGGCCGTAGGTTGGAGGCCATCGCTAGTAGGTTGGAGGCCATGGCTAGTAGGTTGGTGGAGGCCGTAGGTTGGAGGCCATCGCTAGGTTGGTGGAGGCCGTAGGTTGGGGGGCATCGCTAGTAGGTTGGAGGCCATGGCTAGTAGGTTGGTGGAGGCCGTAGGTTGGAGGCCATCGCTATTAGGTTGGAGGCCATGGCTAGTAGGTTGGTGGAGGCCGTAAGTTGGAGCCCATCGCTAGTTGGTTGGAGGCCATCGCTATTAGGTTGGAGGCCATCACTAGTAGGTTGGAATCGCTAGCAGGTTCAGTGGGTTGGAGGCCATCGCTAGTAGGTTGGAGGCCATCCCTAGTAGGTTGGAAGCCATCGCTAGTAGGTTGGAGGCCATCGCTATTAGGTTGGAGGCCATCACTAGTAGGTTGGAATCGCTAGCAGGTTCAGTGGGTTGGAGGCCATCGCTAGTAGGTTGGAGGCCATCCCTAGTAGGTTGGAAGCCATTGCTATTAGGTTGGAGGCCATCGCTAGTAGGTTGGAGGCCATCGCTAGTAGGTTGGAGGCCATTGCAATTAGGTTGGAGGCCATCGCTAGTAGGTTGGAGGTCATCGCTAGTAGGTTGGAGGTCAAGAATGCAGCTGGCTCTCAACGGGGCCTCTTACCCGCCAAAGTTGCACAACAAAACCAACGCAAGTGCCTCAATCTTCCCCGGCTTGCTGGAAGCCCGAAACCTCGAGAGAGGGGGGCCGCAGGCCGGTCACAGAACGAGCAAAACCCACTTCGGGTACGAGTACTGACTCAACCAAAAGCGCATGGAAAAAGTATGCAAGAGAAGTGTAAAAAAATCTTATGACCTTTTTCTGCTGGAGACTATATATTATATATTCTTTGCCAAATCATGCTGCCTCTCTTGTGGTTTTGCCTTCTCCGTGTCCTTCTAGGGGCAGCTTGTCTTTGCTGGGGCCCCCAGCCGCTCATAGAGCAAATCCAACAAGAAGGGCAAGGCCCAGTAGGTCCAGGTTCTCGGAGATGGCGAGCCATCAAGGATTTTCCGGATGATTCCAACATCCAGTTTTATGATTCCAACAATCTGTCGGATCATTCGAACAATTTGTTAGCAGCTGATCTTCCACGATGATTGATGTACAGTTGTTTATTGATGTTTTCTGATTTCAGAGGCCAAAACTATCTACCAACCTCCAGTGACGGAAGGTCTCGGCCAAGAGCTTGCCAAGCTGAGCCCTTGACGGATGCGCGTGGCCCCACCTAGCAGTTCATGAAAAGTCTGTCGACCTGAAGGTCATGCTTCAGACAGCTCCCAAACTATTCCGGGCACCTCCGGGCACGAAGCAAAGGACAAAACCCCACTTCTTGCACCTCTTCTGCTTGCCCCCACAACTCCCAAGAGCGAGTCATCGCAACACTCTTGTGGGTGTGGAAAGGCTCAAGTCACATGGCGTGTCGCTGGCCCCTTCCAGTTGGAATCCCCTCACCGGGCTGTTCTGCCTCATGGTTCGAGGCCCCTTCCAGCCTTCGAAGTTCATCTCCTCAAACGCGCGCGTCGCGCGTCGCTGGCCACGGCACCCAACGGACACCGTAAAGCCCAAAAAAGGAGCTGTAAGACCGCGAACAAGTACGCATGCAGAACTCCCCAGAACCGCAAATCTATCATATTGAGGTCTCGGGTTCATTGCCAAGTGGTCGTCAACACACTGGCCAGGTGGTGGCTTTATCTTTCTTAGGTCCTAGTTGCAACTTATTATGTTGAATGTGGGTAGGGAACACCAGCATCAGCATCAGCACCACCTCCATCATCATCGAGCCTACCTCACGGCCTTGCGCTTGACCGCTGAGAGCGCGCTCCGTGCTGCAAAAACATCCGACTCAGGCCCCATGCAGAATAGAGTTCCCCGCGTTTCGCCTGGCATTTCAAACCGTTCCCAGCTCTGACCGCGGTCTCTTTGTTTCGGAGTACTGAAAGTGGCGATCCCAATCGTCATCGTTTTTGATACATTGGAATGTGAAGGGTGGTGTCACAAGGTCGCAATCGTTTGGCAAGTCTATTGTGGACAGCTTCTCCATCATCACTCCGTGCAGGCCCGAAACTCCGTCGCGGAAGACATGCAGGGCGCCACGTCTCTTGACATCCTGGGGGTCATGAAGGCCAGCCACAGGTGCAGCCGAGTGAAGGAGAAACATGGAGTGACAATGCAGCACACACATGTCAAGAAAGCTAAGCTCACAGGGGGCGCCTTTCATAGGCATCTACGGCGTCTAGAATGTCTATCTTGAATTGCCGTCAACCTGTCAAAGCCCTGGGTCAAGGCCATGCAAATGTCATAACTCCCAAGCCAAGTGGTTGGCTTCATACCGCTTCCAAATCCAAGTGTCCAATGTACTGGCAGCATGATCCATGGGTAGAACTCGTGAATCTCCCGCTTGGTTGCCGCAAACATCCTGCAAAGCCAACTGCCGTGGCAACCAACTCCCCATCTACAAAATACCACAACCTCCTGCTCAAAATGATTCGCAGTACAACCAACTGTTGCTTAGGTTCCAAGCATGCTCAGGTAGAAAGGTTTGCTACACTGCACATGACAAGTGGGCAAGTGTGTCTGTGTATAGATATATAATATATATATATATTAGAAAATATATGTATTATTGCCTCTGTGTCGGGAGGCCAAACTACTCCTAGCCAATACAAGAACCATCAAGAAGCTATAAAGTGTAGCATTGAATACACCTTACCACCACTCACATCATCGCTTGGCAGTTCAGCGTCTTTCTCTGGCAGCTTGATGGACCTGGCACCACTCACCGAGAGCCCGGAGCAGCTCCTTTCGAGGCCAGGCACGATGATCTGATCCGTGTCCTACGGCGAAATCCCGCGGGGAAGGCGCGGTGCTGTGCCTTGACTCTCTTCGGATGGAAGGCAGCGTGCCACACACCACCCCACCCGGTCCAGCTGGATGCCCACCAGCACCCGAGCGGCGATCATTGCCCGGAGCTTGTTGAAGTTGAAAGACACGGAGCGTCCTCCAATCTCTTTCCAAATGCACAAAGGCACCGGAGTTAAAAGACAAAAACACTACGCACATAGCCTTTGACTCATGCCGGTGCCCCAAGTAAATAGAGAACGGTTGAACAAGCTTAGTGGATGCCAAAAGGACATCACTCTTGAACAAGCTTGGATGTCACTTTCACACGATGACTCCGATTCTTGGGCAAGGCGACCTTGCTGACGGTGTCTTTGAGATACACTCATGGCAAAATGAAATACTGTAGATGAAAAATTGCTCTGGGGTGACGTCACCTTTTTGTGGTGGTCGTCCAAGAACCCAAGCCGAGGTGCTGCCCACTTTTGTGCTTGGGATGTATAGCAAGACAAAATTCCTATCGTGATCTATCGTGTCTATCCTTTCTTCTGGACATTATTTGAAACTGCCTTTGCATATTATCTGTGTTCTTAGAGCGTCGATGCTCGTCGCATCTGCCCAAACAACACAAACCTGTACTCCGGTCCTTTCATGGGCAACATCTTGTAGACGATCACCTTCGGTCGCAACACCACTGACTGCGTGAAAGAATCACTGTGAGACGCCCCCCACGGCGCCGTGTGGGTCCCCATGCGTCGGTGGGCCATGTTGGAACCGCTGAGCACGTGGCATTTGGAAAGCTATGCCACTGCGCAGGCGGTACAAACTTGTCATCGAACACCTCAGTGCAAACTTGTCATCGAACACCTCATTTGGAAAACTATGGCCAGGTTTCACCTGCACTTGCACCATACAGCCCCCCAGGAACAGAGCCGCAGTGGTCACGTTCGGCTGAGTCACCCGCCACCACCACCACCGGACGAGTGGAAAAGAGGTCGATGGAACGGATCAAGTTCACGGCCTATCAGGGGCACAGTGGGGGGTACTCTGGCCACACCATTCGACGCTGAAACCGTGCACCAATGGACCTCTGGGACGAACCCTTGACGCAATCGGTCATCTGCGTTGATGGGTGAGACCTCAAATCCCCGTGGGAACATGATGGGGAACGAGGCTCAATCATGCCTTTGCAAGTGGGAACATGATGTGAAATTCAGCACTTGTCAACCCCTACCTACCACTGTGCGTGCGGTTAGCATCACCTTGGACCATTCTGGTCGAAGAAGTTATTGCCAAACCGAGCCGCCGGAATTCAGACAAGAGCACTGCTTCGCCAGGGCCCTTGTCCTTCCTTTAGGAAGAGTTGTGAAGTGCTCGGGAAGGGGGAAAGACCACAAAGAACCCATGTCCCAAAAACTCAGGTCTTCAACACCACGAGCCACAGGCCACCTGTTTCTCTGGCACCGTCGTGCCGCAGAGTTCCACACCCGAAAGCCAACGCCGCAGCACCTGCAGGGCGTAGATCGAGTCCTGCGGTCCGGCCACATAGGTCCTCAGCGTCGGATGTCAACCCACTCATGTCAACACAAACCCTTTTGTTTGCTCCTAGTAGCGTTCTTGCTCCTAGTAGTAAGGCCCGGAGCCCCTAGTAGCTCCCTTGCTCCTAGTAGAAATGTCCTTTGCCCCTAGTAGCTTCTTGTTACTAGTGGTAATGCCAGGAGCTACTAGTAGCGTCCGATTGCTCCGTTCATAGCGATGCCCTTTGCTCCTAGTAGCTTCTTGTGATGTGGATTGCCACTGTCATTCCTCATTTAGTAAAGGAACAGGACAACTATGAAATGTTATAAAGCATGCGAGGTACAGTACGAGGAGTGAGGAGTTGAGGTGTTGGTGTGAGCTCAATAAGGGTTGAACCAACAGAAAAGCAAAACTAAGTGCAGAAGTTGGGCTACAAAATTGAGCTTCTCAACAGCGGATGGGGGAGTCTTTCAAGCAACGGACTCATTACGAGTACACTGCACTCCCTGAAATACAGTAATCATGGAAGCGGAAAACTACCTGTGGGTAAACGAAAAGAAAATCCAAGCGGCCATACCATCTGCCATGATTGTTTCGAGGAGTGTGGAAGCCGGACCACGAGCCATCCCTCCCCCTTGCCTGTAGCAAGAGTGTCCGCAGCGACTCGCTGCGCAGCCCGTTGATCCGACTCACTTTTGATCCGACCCCTCAACCTTTGCCAAAGCGACTTCAGTCTCAAGAGTCCCAAACAGTCTCAAGAGTCCCAGACATGTGGATGAGGTGTTATTGAAACGAAAGGCCAATCGGTCTTTAAAGGCAGCGGTCTGCCCAAGCCCTTGCTTGGGTCAGACTCATTGGTCGAAAATCCTCAGCACGTTAAACACAAGCAGCCACCAAACGCTAGGCCACAAACGCCAAGTTGCTAAAGGTAGCATCCCAACGCCTGCAGAGTCTTGGAGACTTCAAAGCTGCCCTTTCAGAACGAAGTCACGGCTAGCACTGGGTCCAATCAAACTTGGGCCTGCCCAACTAAGGTCCAATGCTAGAAGCTCACAGATTCAAGCTTCAAGGCCTCGGCCAACAACCTCAATACAGCCTGATGTGATCCATCTTCATCAGCCTCTTCTGCCATCTGCACGGTTGAAAAGCCCTGGTAGGTCTCATCAGGATCAGCGCCAAACTCCAACAAAAGACTCAAGATGTCAGCATTGCCATGAACCACTGCCACGTGGATGGGGTACATGCCATCCAATTGGACAAGCCCCCCCTGCCGAGTCCTGGGCTGATTCACTGATGCAAAGCCATGAGACAGCAGAAAGTCGTGCACGCGCTGCTCCTTCACCCACTGCGCCATCCTCGCGCACTAGTCACTTGAGTCTCAAGCTGCGGGCCGGCCAATTTGCTCAGAACAACCCATGGAATGCCCTGCAACGTCGGCCGCACCACACGAACCGGCCCTCCCCCACCCGTTCCAACGGTCGGGTCGAAAACACTGCGCCCCGTCACTGGTGGGGACCGTCCAGGCGACCGCACACAAAGCCCTCCTCGAGCCAATCGGACTCGGGCGAGGTCCAGCGAAAGTAGTTCTCTCGGAAGTCGCAGTCCAGAAACGTCTGCCTTGGGCCGAAGGAGCGCTGGAGCGGGAGCAGCTGGCGCTTCACAGGATGTTTGGCGCTTCTTGGTATGCACAAGATGGTAGTCTACGGTTGGATGTGTGAACTAACACATGCACTTCTCTCAGAACTGCTGGTGCAAGTCGGACACTTTTGAGCTGCATGACGTGTTGCTACAATCTTGATGCCGACAATGCATTTGCCAAAGCAAACGAACAGCTGCAAAACACCAAACATATCCATAACAAAATATATATATATATACATATATACAATCATGTATACCAGTTATGTTGATTTACTAAAATTAGACTCAGATATCAAATCCCAGCCGTTTTGTGCTGCCTCATGAGCACACGCGCACAAGCTACAGACAGTGCATTAGCCAAACGCTCATCGTTTCTTGTGTTCTTGGGTTCCAAGCCAGAGACGGCTAGTACCCGAGTCCTCGCACATGGCCTCAGGTGGCGGGCGGCGGCAAGCGCGCGTGGTGAGCTTCCAAAAGGAAGGCCCCGCCCCCGGAGGCTTTGAGAGACGCGTCGTCCCTTAAGAAGAAGGAAAAGCTTGTAAACACCTATAACTTATAACAACATACCTAAAGGAAACATATCCCTTAGGGAAAAGCTTAAGAAGAAGGATAACTTATAAGACTTACAACAACATACCTAAAGGATTCTAAAGCTCTCTTCCATGAACCTCCGAAGGACCCACTCCGCTCACCCGCCGGCCCTCCGCGTCCACAAGCCTTCAAACTTTGTTCCAGAACTTTTTGAGCCTCTTCATGTGGATGGCCAGCCTTTGGCACCTGCAGAGGAGAGGATGCTCTCATAAAGCTGAGACAGCTTCAAACCTCATCATTTTACCGTGGTTGACAACCGGATGAATCCGTGATTGCTTTCAACTTTCCGAGATCAAAACCGGTGACTGGGGTGTCACCTGCTGCTGTTTGCGAGACCATTCCCTTTCTCACCCCGGACCGCACGCTCCGCTGGATCTCCCGAAACGCACCCTCGAAGCAGAGAAGTCGCAGGACCACAGCGGCTCAAGGTCGCCAGTACGACACCTGGGTGGCAGGAATATGTTGAATCTGCCTCAAGTTGCGATGGAGGCCTTCATGCACCATTGTCCTGTCCCTACGCATGTTCCCAAGATCCCAGAAGTGCACCCTTTTTGGCCGTATCTGTGGCTGTTTTTTGGAGTCAGTCGGCCGAACCACACCTCCCGAGCACACGCATTCTCAACAAAGCTCGGAAGGGTGGTCAGCAGTTCGGCAAATGGATCGCAAGTGGATCCATGCAGCCTTCGGTTGCCAACACTACCATGGCCACCGTTGGTGCCGGCCTACGCCTCACTTCTTAGGTGCTGCATCCTTGAAGCCCGACACCCAATTGATGGCCCAAAAGTCCTGGCGGTGACCATCTGGGGTGGCAGTACAAATAGCTCTTCTTAGAGAAGTAAGAATATATAGGAATATGATGGAATATGTGGGAATCTTGCAAGCACGAAGCAAACGAGACATGAAATCCACCACCAAGGCTGGTTGCTGAGTTTCACCTTTCTCTTACCTTCCATCCCCCACTCCTGTGCCAATTGAGGATGGCAAATGTACTCATAGGGCATGTAGAAGTAGCCCTTGTCACCCCAACCTTCTCCCCAGGAGTTCCTCAGCAAGCCAGCACTCTGGAGATGTCGGTGCTTGGCCGGTATCAAGCACCAAGTCTCTTGCTTACGTACTCTCGGAAGTGACCCGTGAGACCCTGAAAAACCCGTGAGCTTCCGTGAGCTTCCATTGGTCGTCCATGAGCAGAACTCGAACATGCCCTACGCCAGGCGCCCCGGCCTGACAATGAAAACCTTCTTCATGTCGTCATAGCCCACAGCGGTCACAGCGTGCCCGCCGCGCACCTGGTCGTCTTTCTGTGGCATCACCATGGTCCCATCCTTGGCCGCCTGGGAGAAACTGGTGAGCACCGTAAAGCCGAAGACAAAGGGGTAGCCGTGCTTGATGCAGAGCTTCATCTGCTCCAAGTCCTACCAGGAAAGGGGAGGAAGGGGCAGTGTGGCCGGACTGAGTATGAAAAAAATATATTTAATTATTAAAATTATTAATAAATATTTGAATTTAATTAATATTTAGATTGTATGATATAATTGTTATATTTATATTTTTATATATATTATATGTATAATTAGAAATATGCTTAAATTGAATTATTTTGCCATTATAAAGCTTGCAAAATTTCAAAGAATATTAAATATTCGCTTTAGGAGGCTTCGTCGTCCTTCATATATATATATATATATATCTTCAAAATGAACAAAATTTTATAAGGCGGCATTCATATTGCTATAAGAATGAATCATATATATGATTCTTTTAAAAAAATATCTAATATTATGATGATATATATCTTAGAATCTATCTTTGTTTATTGACATTAATGACATTCGAGAATGTATGTCCAAGGCTTAATTTGCATATGGTTTGTTATGTTAATTGGATGTAGTTATGTCGCATGTGTATTTGTGAGGTCTCGGCCCCTCGCGCCACGGAAGGTCACTGACGGATATGATTGTCTCGTCCATGGCCACTAGCAAAAGGCCGGCTCTCAGTCAGCAAAATCTCTTCGATACACTCTTCTATCGCCTACCCCAGGGCCACTACTGCCAACAGTTCTTCTTGGCGACCATCCAACCCACATCTGCCCCGAAAGAAGACACGGAACGACTCCTGGGCCACGCGAGCATAGCCTTTCACGATGCACTTCTGGGCCATCTCGTAGCAACTCTTCCTCGTTGTGTGGCCAAAGTTGTTTGACTTTTCAACCCCTTGGTTGTTCAACTTGGGATCCTATAAGGTCTGCAGTGAATGGCCCTACTTGTGTTCGAAGCTTCTCCGGCTGCTTCTTGAAGAAGTCGGGACCATCGTCATACTTCCAAACCGTCTCGGGGCAAACGCCCATCTTCTCCATCACCTGAAATGGCAGCGTTCAGCTGCCCCTTGCAGCCCTGCTTTCTCACCTTTCTCACCTTGATTGGGGTGATGTGCTGTGAGGGTCTGAGAGATGAGGAAGAAGCAGCGAAGATACGAGAGGAAGCAGCTACAGTAATGACAGCAAATCTGTGACAAATGGCAGCGAATACATCCCCAACATATGCCCACCAATCGCACAGCAGCCTTGATGCCATCCCTGATCATGGCACCGGCATCCTTGTCCACGCTCCCCTCCACGTACCTCTGCAGAAGATGAGGCAGGGAATGACCAAACCTTCCAGAGCCTCAAAACCTTTGCACTCTTGAGATCTTTTCTCCCACCTCACCTCTCATTGTAGTAGATGAACAGACGGCTTGGGGTGAAGTCCTTAAACTGCGCATCATTCTCCACGTTCTGCTTGTGCAAGGTGAAGTGGTAGGCCGCAGCCAGCGCATTGGCGGTGCAGCTCCCCAAGTGACCCTGGTTGAAAATCGCGAAGCCCCCGTTCAACGGGCGCAAGTCCACCAGCCTGGTCCGGTTTTCCACAGCGGCGCGGCGTCACCGGCGAACAGCCCAGTGGGAAGTTCCGTCAACGTTCCCAGGTCTATCGGTTCGGGTCCTTTCGCAAGCCGAAGGTTGAACCTATTGGGCCCAGAAACGGACAATGAGTCATGCGACTGAAGAAAACGGACTCAAGACGCGTCGAACCTCAAAAATGTTAGAGTTCACAGAGGCAAAGCACCAGTGTCACCAGAGAAAAACCCAACAGAGAGGTACCAAAAATGATATTGGCAACACAGGGCGCTTGATGTGAACCCGATCTGCAGCGCCGCCTGCAGCCCCCTCTTCAGGCCCCACAGGGTCATCTGGGGGGCAGTGAATGCTGCTGAGGGTCTCGTTCTTGCCCTCACTCTTCTTCTTGATCTCTCGTGGTGCGTCGACGTGCTTGAAGGTCAGGTAGTGGTCCTGCCAAGCACAAAAACCAATCGCAAAAGACCAGCCGATCTACTTATGAAGATTGGGGACTTGGATGGCCGCAAAAAAACAAAGCGGTGTCCCGATGGTCAGGCATGTCGGGGATCCAGCCAAACTTCTCGATGGTCTTGCGCTCCATCTTCTTCATGTTCGGGTGCCTCTCGATAGTTTGACTGTATACTTCAGCAAGGGCTGGTTGGACAACCCCACTAATTACTAGTGTCCCATCCTGATGTTTTTTAAACTATTCCTTTTGGTCCTCCACCGGCCCCACCGACTTTGCAAAGGAATCTGCCGGGCAGAGCAAGATAGAAAGTGGTACGTCAGTGAATCAGGGCCGCTGCCAAATAACATGGAATAACAGGTTGATATGATCATTTTGACGGGACGAAGCTCATCACTCTCACAAGAATAGCATCACCACCGATTATCGTGCCTCTCATGATCAATGATGATCTCGGCAGCTGAGCTGGCGGCAGTGCTCTCACAAGAACCCATCGCTGAGGCGAAAGAGACGTGCCAAGAACACTGAATTGTTGATTGATCCCAAAGGCGGCTGTCCAGGCCGATGGACCGGAAGCAGGCGGTAAACACATATGGCTGTGGGACAAAAATTCGGAGCCCTAGACCCTGGCAGGCTGACCTCAGCCTATTCTGTTCATTTTTTTGTGGTCAAGCAGGGTCACCAGATTTTGACCCACAGACATCTACTCCCCAAAGCCACCTTCCACCACAAGCTTTGTGCCACACGTCTCTTCATGCGGAACCACATTAGGCCTGCAGCTGCGACCAAGGCATCACAGTTTGGACCAAAGCGTTTAGAAAAACTCCTCGCCCAAGCGCTCTGACATGCTGACACCAGAATCGGATACAAAAAAAACAGCAACTGCCCAGTCATGAGCATCTGAAGGCCGTCTGCCTGAAGTGCCGCTTACTCAGCTCCGGCTCATGGGCAGTGCAGGCCGCCCGGCAGGGCACCCTAGGGCCAGACACTCCGCGACGTCTATGTAAAGGGTTCACACTGACCCAGGGTCCCGTCAACCTTGCAACTAAAACCAAAACATGTCTATGTTTCGATACATTCACTCAACTGAAGACCTCGCATTCAGTTTGTGACATGGCCGGCGATACATCTTCACAAATACAACTAAATTCTAGATGTTTGTCTTTGGTTTTGAGGGCCGAAGTCAAACATGGTTCAAATGAAATCGAAGTCACTCGAGGGAAGGAGTCCAGGGGCCCAGGCATTGAGGTTTGCGAGCACTTGGTCATGTTGGCCACGCTGCCCTCCTGACAAGTTTAGGTTTAGAATGGTTTAGATGAGGATGCTCCAGAAGCACGAGTTCAGGTAAACGAACTCGTCGAGCCAAGTCATCAGTGGGGAGTGTAGAACGAAATAAATCAATGAGGGCCTCGCTCCACGGAGGCCTGAGAGACCTTCCTTTTTGACGAGGCCTGGCGCTCGTGGCGTGCCGTTCCCTTCAGAGCATTGCCCCCGTTCGCGAACGACAATGCCATCACCTAACCTTCCTAGTGCCCGATGCAGCCCCTTGTTTGTCCAAGTTCTTGCACTTTGCAGGACGCATTGGCTGGTTTAAGTGATGTGCAGCAGCAATCTTGAGCCAGAATGACTCATTACAGACACTGAAATTCACACTGGAGTATAGTCACTATTGTTGCCTACCCAATTATTAGCTTCCTTGCGAACCATTTGGAACAGCACCCCAAACAGCATTCTCACTCTTTCACTCCTTGCAGCGATATCTGGACGTGGCCACGGCCTGACCATGCTGCCAGGTGCGAGCACACGGGTGACCATCGGGTCACGGCCATACCTTGGGTATTATTTTTCCTTGCAGACAGTAGATGATGATGATTACTATACTATGTTTACTTGATATTATTGTTGTATATTATATTTTGTTGTTGTTATTGTGATTGTTTATTACTATTAGCAAAGGACTTGTTCTAAAATAGTGACAATTGTTGACGGACTGTTACACATACCATCGGGTCACCACCTGTCCGTTGAGTGACGCAAGCAGGATGCATTATTACTCCCTTCGCAGCGTGCAAGGCGAAGCCTTCAGAGAAAAACTTGCAGATCCAGTGTCGAAACCCTGAGGGCTTCAAAAGGATTGAGCTTGGCTGAGTCTATCAGCCTTAGCATAGGTTGCCACTTGAGCCGAAGGAAAAAGAATGGCACAGTCAAAGCGCCATCAACAGCCTTCCACAAGCGAATTTACACACTCCTACAGAGCACCAAAACAAAGGCGCCACACCTGATGGCAAACTTGAATTCTCACTACACAGAAAGACTACACGGTTGTGGGATTGTGGAACGCCATTCCTGCCACGAAGCTCTACACACCTCCGTGTCATCAGCAAATCAGATTCCTTTGATCCAATCATCTTGAAAATCTGTCTGTCATCCCCAGAAGGTTATGGTTATGGTAGGTTCTTGTATCCCACAGCCATGTCAGCTCGTCAGAGCTGGGATGTCACATGCAAGTCTCAACCTCCAAACAGGCGGTCTTCTCTCGGAGCGTCTCCTCCGGCTCGGACAGGACGAGCATGAGCTTGGCGACTTGCCTCCGCAGCATGAACAAGTCGATGGCCTTGGCCGCTCCACGGAGTTGCAGACAACCTTCGAGAAACTCCTCTGCCTCGATCTGATAGTCCTCCCGGCGGAGAATCACTGCAACTGAGCATGTCGAATACCAATGCTACACAACCACCACAAACACTGGTCCATTCCCCTGGAAAGTGTCAAGCTTGAACACCATGTTGCACTTCAGACTGGTCCTCATTGTGGTCTAAGCTCAAGAACAATGTCCAGGCGTCTGTGACGCCAATGTCCAGGGCCTCAAAGAGCACACGGACCTCCTCATCTTGGAAATGCTTCTCGAAGTTCGCCAAGGACAACTTCCCCGACTTCTCGTCATCCATCCTGGGCACCAGTGCGGTGCACAAAATCAGTGGGGGGGAACAACAAACTAACAAAGATTAAAATAACTTTGTTCTTCAGATAGGGATCTTTTGAAACAGCTTCTCCAAGCTGGTCTTCAGCTGATGTTTGTCCATGATCAATGATTGCACCACCATCTCCTGGTCGCGTTCAGCCCCCTTGATGGCCGACTGACAAAATACCTGTTGATGGCGAGTGAAGCGCAAACAAAACAGAAGAAAGGAAGGCCTAGTGTTTGCCCCAAATCCACACCAATCACCGCGAAACAAAAGCGCTCCAAAACCAGCTCAGCAGCTCCAGTCATAACATTCAAAACCTCACTTTGCTGGTGCTCCCTCCCTGAAACTCAGGCAAACACACAAACACAGACAAAGTCCTCCGGGCATCGGGATTCTGCCATAAAAAAAAAGAAGGAAAAACAAATCCTGTCATTGAGCCCTCGAGAGAAATCATGTTCGAAATCAACTGTTGTCACCAAGGAACCGCAAAGACGCTAAAGGCGATGTAGCAAGAGAAGACATATTTCCATACCCAGCTCACCGCAGCTAAAGCCATGGTGGCATCCATCCATGTCAAGCCCCCTGAGATCGACATGAACAGTGTGTGGACCGAGTCGTGCAGCGTGCCGAAGTACTTCTCCAGCTTGATGATGCTCTCCGCCTGTGGCAACTCCGAAAAGCAAGAAGCGACGACCGGGTGGAGGCCATCGCTACGAACGGAGCAAGAAGCTACTAGTAAAAAAGGCGTTCTGAAAGCCAAACACGATGTGCCAAGAGCACCGACTGCTGCTAGAGGCTTTTGGACCGAACCGTGCCAGCGAGCCTGGAGAGCCATGAGACGACATTCAACGATCCGTTGCGAAACGGCGGAGGGGTGGATGCACCGCCTGCTCAAAATATCTACTTGTGCAAACTCAAGTGTGGACCCAACATGCACATGGGCATTTTCTGGCAGGTCTCCAGGCTGGTTGTCTGATTTCCCGCTCCAGCCTCGGGTGTTCCGCTCTCAATGATGTGGTTGTTGGAGATGTCTGTGAAGAGGATGCCTGAGCACTGTCAAACACTGCCTGATGTACTGGTCGCTGGTCCATGTGGGTCATCCTTCACCCACCCGGAACGACGTGGTCGGAGAACGACGTACATCTGCTTCGAAGTGCGGTGTGTGTTTTTTCAATGGGTGTATGATGCATGCGATGCACCGACACATCCCCTCGTTTTTTTCTTTTCCACTTGGCTCCAAGCTTGATGTGCGCTATACCATGCAGAGAAGGCGCCAAAGACGTACATGATCATGGCCAAGAGCAACATCGCCCAGAACAGTGACTTCAAGGTGTTGACAATTGAAAAGACCAGCGTTCGCAAGGACCGGAAAAAGCGCACCACCCTGGCAATCTGGTCTTTTCTTTTGGTCTTTTTCTGTGAGATCTCTCTCTCTCTCACTCTCTCTTCCCCAAATCTCCCCAACCACCTGGCCCGGGCCCTCGCCTGATCACGCGGAAGATCCGCGTGAGCCGCGTCATCCGGAGGATGCGCAAGATTCGCAGGTTGCTGCTGGAGCCCGCGCTCAAATGCGGGTCGTGTGCCACAAACTCCACGGTGCACCTGGCTCCGTTGGTCGGGCATGCTGCGTCTCGAGAGACGTCCCGACAGGTTGGGTGGGAGCCCACACCCAAATAAATTAACACGCGCTAGACACATGCAAACACCCTTCTTCGGGAATCAACTCTTTACGGGGTCTCCTGATGTCCGTGTCCTGGTGCGGTTGTCGCCCCCACCGGGCGCCGTGACTGGAGGGGACGGAGGAACCAGCTCGACCCAACCAAGTGGTCCCACAGAGGCGCGCAAAGCGGGAAAACCCGTTCAAGTAACAAGGACGCTACTAGGTGTAGGCCATCGCTATTGGGTTGGAGGCCATCACTACTAGGTGGAGGCCA